AGGGCAGCAACGGGGCTGCAGCGGGGCCACGAAGGGCAGCGAGGGGGCCACGAAGGGCTGCAAGGGGGCAACGAAGGGCTGCAACGGGGCCACGAAGGGCTGCAACGGGGCCACGAAGGGCAGCGAGGGGGCCACGAAGGGCTGCAACGGAGCCACCACAGGCAGCGAGGGGCCACGAAGCGCTGCAACGGGGCCACGAAGCGCCACGAAGGGCTGCAACGGGGCAACGACGGGCAGCGAGGGGGTCACGAAGGGCTGCAACGGGGCCACGAAGGGCAGCGAGGGGGCCACGAAGGGCTGCAACGGAGCCAGCGAAGGCAGCGAGGGGCCACGAAGCGCTGCAACGGGGCCACGAAAAAGCAGCGAGGGGGCCACGAAGGGCTGCAACGGGGCCACGAAGGGCAGCAAGGGGGCCAGAAAGGGCTGCAACGGGGCCACGACGGGCAACAATGGGGCCACGCAGGGCTGCAACGGGGCCACGAAGCGCTGCAACGGGGCCACGAAGGGCAGCAACGGGGCTGCAGCGGGGCCACGAAGGGCAGCGAGGGGGCCACAAAGGGCTGCAACGGGGCCACGAAAAAGCAGCGAGGGGGCCACGAAGGGCTGCAACGGGGCCACGAAGGGCAGCGAGGGGGCCACAAAGGGCTGCAACGGGGCCACGAAGGGCAGCGAGACCCCGATTCGTAACTAAGCTGTGAGGGAGTCCTAGGCGTGAGCGCGACTCCTGGGTGCCTGAGTGTCGGGAGCGCGGCGCTTAAGTAAATTGCGGCGAGCTCCAACGCAAGAACGCGATTCTTGAATGAATTGCAAGTCTCCAGCGAGAGCGCGACTCCACAGCGCAGAGACAGCAACCCCTGTATAAAGTGCGAGGAAGTCCCAAGCGAGAGCCCGATTCCTGAACACATGCGAGGAAGTCTCAGGCGGGAGCACGGGTCCTGGCTAAATTGCAAGGAAATCTCAAGCGGGAACTGTTGTTGTTGCAACCCGGGGCCAACAACGCAGTTTGACCCTTGTGACGTTCCCTGGTTTTCCCCACATCCAAAGTGGAATTGTTGCTTTCTTTGCGCACCCTCCGCGCAGGATCTCTCATCCTCCTCCCCCCATTTTTCTCTGCCTCTCTCTCTCGCTCTCTCTCTCTCTCTCTCTCTCTTTCTCTCTCTCTCTCTCTCTCTTTCTCTCTCTCTCTCTCTCTCTCTCTCCTCCCTTCGCACACACACACACACTCAATCATTCACACGCACCATCATCACCGACACTCGCCACTCACCCACTCACGCACACTATCATCACCATCGTCGGCATCACTCGCACATTCACTCCTTAACACACTCATCATCATCACTCACTCACTCGCCGACTCACTCACTCACCCACCTACCCACCAAGCGGGAACCTCGTCTGTGAGCGAATTGCGAGGAAGTCTCAGGCGGGAGCCCCCTCCCTATGGGGTCCGCAACTCATATGAGTAATCCGAGCTGGTCATCGGCCTCCTGCAACTGTCGGCACTTCTGGGCCCCTGGAGCATGAATCTGGGGGAAGTATCAGGCGGGAGCCTCGTCTGTGAGTGAATTGCGAGGAAGTCTCAGGCGGGGGCCACCTCTCTATGGGGCCCACAGCTCATGTGATTAATCTGAGCGGGTCATCGGCCTCCTGCAACTGTCGTCACTGTTGGACCCCTGAGGCCTGCACATGGAGGAAGTATCAGGTGGGAGCCTCGTCTGCGAGTGAACCACGAGGAAGTATGAAGCGGGAGCCCCCTCCCTATGAGGCCCGCAGCTCATGTGAGTAATCCGAGCGGGTCATCGGCCTCCTGCAACTGTCGTCGCTTTTGGGCCCCTGAGGCATGAATATGGGGGAAGTACCAGGCGGGAGCCTCGTCTGTGAGTGACTTGCAAGGAAGTCTCAGACGGGAGCCCCCCCATATGGGGCCTGCAGTTCACGTTCGAATCCGAGGCGGGTCATCGGCCTCCTGCAACTGTCGTCACTTTTGGGCTCCAGAAGCTCGAATGTGGGGGAAGTAATAGGTGGGAGCCTCGTCTGTGAGTGAATTGCGAGGACGTCTCAGGCGGGAGCCCCCTCCCTGTGGGGCCTGCAGTTCACGTTCGAATCCGAGGCGGGCCATCGGAAACCTGTAACTGTCGTCACTCTCGGGCCCCTCAGGCTTGAAAATGGGGAAGTGTGAGGCGGGAGCTTCGTCTGTGGGGGGTCATTTCCTGATTAGCCAAGAGGGTTCTCATGTGGGGTCCTACCGTCTGGTTATTTGTAAAACAAAAAACACAAATGCGAGCCCTGGGGGAACAACTTCAATTGAAAAGAACCATGGTCATCGGAGGGGGATCAACAGAACTGATTCAAGAGGGAGAGGTCAACATCACCATCAGCAACAACAATACTAATAATACGAACAACAACAGCAACAACAATCATCTAAGTATGTTCGCTCGTACTGGCACGCGTATCGTGCATTCTGTATACCCCAAGTTTAGATACCCGCCCATTTCGTCTTCGATCGCACCCCCGCTTTCGAACGAGCGGGGCCACGAAAGGCAGATAATGCGGGGCCACAGAAGGCAACGATGGGGCCACTGAGCAACTGGGCCACGTAGGACAGTGAGGGCCACAAACGGCGACAGCGGGGCCACGAAGGGCATGCATATGGGGCCACAACGGGCGCGAACGAGCGGGGGCCACGAAGGGATGCAACAGGGCCACGAAGGGCAGCGAGGGGGCCACGAAGGGCTGCAACGGGGCCACGAAGGGCTGCGAGGGGGCCACGAACGGCTGCAACGGGGCCAGAAGGGCTGCAACGGGGCCACGAAGGGCAGCGAGGGGGCCACGAAGGGCTGCAACGGGGCCACGGATCAAAGCGAGGGGGCCACGAAGGGCTGCAACGGGGCCACGAAACAAAGCGAGGGGGCCACGAAGGGCTGCAACGGGGCCACGAAGGGCAGCGAGATCCAGGTTCCTAGGTGCTCTGTGAGGGAGTCCTAAGCGTGAGCGCGACTCATGGGTGCCTGGGTGTCGGGAGCGCGGCGCTTGAGTAAATTACAAGAAATTACAACGCAAGGGCGCTATTCGTCTGCAAATTGCAAGCAAGTCTCCAGCGAGAGCGCGACTCCAGAGCGCCCGAAGGGCGATTCCTGAATGCATTGTAAGGAAGAAGTCCCACGCGAGAGCGCGATTCCTAACTAAAATGCGAGGAAGTCTCGGGCGGGAGCGGGGGTCCTGGCTAAATTGTGATGATGTCTCAGGCGGGAGCCGTTGTTGTTGTGATCTGGGGGCCAGGGGCCCAGTTTGAGCATCAAGACTTTCCCTGTCAAAAAACAGGGTGCGAGCGTCGAGGGGCACACTTTGATTTGGGAAAAAACAGTATGCACAGTTGGGGGGATCAACCATAATCATTCTTCAGCAATGAGAGTTCAACAGCAACAACAACAGCAACTGCAGCAGCAACAACAACAAAAGCAGCAACGATAATCACACCAACATCATGGTTATCATCAGCAGCAGCAGCAGCATCATCATGACTGGCATCTTCAGCATCATCATCAGCAGCATCAGCATCATCATTAGCAGCAGTATCAGCATCAGCATCAGCATCAGCATCAGCATCATCAGCATCATCAGCATCATCATCATCAGCATCATCATAATAAACAGCAGCAGCAGCATCATCATCATTCTCATCATGAGCAGCATCATCATTGTCCTTGTCTTCCCAGTCCTCCTCGTTCCTTTACCCCCGTTATCATCATGCTTCCCCTCCATTTTTACTCGTGACCCTGCTTGTCCTGCCCCTGGTAACTATCCCGATTCCCATCGCCAGCATCGTCAACATCATCAGCAGCTTTACAATCATCATCGTCTTCGTCATCACAATTGCCATCATCAGCATCATCATCATCATCATCATCATCATCAGCAGCAGCAGCAGCAGCAACAGCATGAGTAACATCATGGTCGTCGCCGTTATTTTACTCATCCTCCCCCAGCTCTTCTGCCTGATCCTTTGTCGTTTCTAGCTGAGGCGGATGAGGAAAAGAAGAGGGAGGAGGAGGGGGAGGAGGGGGGCAAGAAGGAGGATAAAACAGAGAAGGAGGATCAGAATGACGACGGAAATTACGAGGATCATGAGGAGTCAATGACGGAGGCGGGAGGCGGGAGAAGATTGGAGGGCGGAGGGGAGGTGGGAAGGAACCAGAGCGAAGAGAGGGAAGGAAGGGAGGGGGCAGAGGGGTAAGGGGCCTGGACAGGAGGGAAGGTCGGAGGGGGAGGAGGAGGAAAGCAACGGGAGCAGGACGAGCTGGGAGGTAAGCGGGGCAGGAGGGAAGGGAAACTGGGACACACAAATAAATACACACAAAAACAGGATTCCCCATAATTTCCCATATTTTCTGGGTTTTTGTCTTCCCCCCCATTGCCCATGTTTTCCCATATTTTCTGGGGAATCGACGATTAATTGTGTCTGTGTGTTTTTTTCCCTCCAGGAGGAGGGACGAGAAGAAGGCGGCTCGGGGGGGATGGGAGGGAGGGAGGGAGAGTGGGGGGGACCAGATCCCTCGAATAGGGGATCAACTACCAAGTTGTGTTGCTCCAAAATGGATTTCCCCGCCAACGATATGCAGGAAGCACGTATCATGTTCGAAGAGCCAGATTCCGAATTTTCCGCGGATTCGGCGGGGAGATCAATTGTGGTAATAAGCCGAACTCTATACTCCGACGCAATTTCTGGCCCCGCACTGAAATTCGCACAAGATAGCCGATCCTGGTGTATACGGGATGCTGTTGTATACATGTTACGTTGCTTCCCCGGGATAACGGGATTTTTAACTATACACCACAGCATCCCGACGTCGTCCCCAACCCTCAGAAAGTCCTGGGATTGATGAACAGCCCGCCACTGGTGACGTCTATGCTCCAGTTTCCGAGTAGACTCGTCTGGAAAAATCCACCTTGCGGGTAGAATCAGCTCTGTAGTCGATCCCCTACTCGAACCCCACGGGTCCACAAAGAAGAAGGAGGCCACCGCCATGAACGGCTGCGGCACGCTCGTGAGTATGGCGATCAGGGACGCCAGGGGCGCGGAGACCCCCCGGGGCACCAGCACCAGCGCCACCGCGAGGCCCTCTGGCACGTTGTGGACGGCCAGCAGCAGCGACATGAAGATGCCGAACTGCGCGTCCAGCCGCTTGCTGAAGGCCACCCCCACCGCCACGCCCTCGCCGGGCAGCGCGGGCGCCGGCGGGAGGCTGCAAGACGAAGCCAGGACGAGGATAACATCGGGCACGGATAGGTCGAGAATCGCTGAGGTCCGGCGGCTCTGGAGGATGTCTCGGGCGCCGCGGACTCCTCAGAGCGCTCCAACACGCTCTGAGAGCGTTCCGGAACGCTCTGGAACGGATTTATCCTCGTCCTAGCCCCGCCCGACGCTGGCGGGAGGCGGGGCCGACAGGCCGCCAGCCCGCCGGAAGCAGACGACACTGACTGCTCCGAAGCCTGTGGACGCTCCGTTCTGGTGGCCCCTGCCCTCAGGCTGGCCGTGTGGCCCGTGGCCAAGGGAGCCTCCCTGGAGGACGAGGCCCCGCCCCCGCCTCCACAGAGAAAGCTCACAGAGGCCGCCCTTCCCTCCTTGTCCTCATCGTGCTTCTCCTGGTCCACGCTCGATTCCTTCTCCTCACTCCTCGCTCCTTGCTCCTCGCTCAACGCTCCTCGCTCCTCGCTCCTCGCTCCTGGTTCCTCGCTCCGCGCTCCTCGCTCCTCGCTCCTCGCTGCCCGCTCCTCGCTCCCCGCTCCTCCTCCTCCTCCTCCTCCTCCTCCTCCTCCTCCTCCTCCTCCTCCTCCCCTCTTCCTCCTCCTGCTCCTCCTGCTCCCCCTCCTCATCTTCTTATTAGTTTCCTTATCAATATCAAAATTGTTGGTATTCCTGGTCTGCCTAGACTTAGTCTTGTTAAAGATAATATGTTTGTTGGTAGTAGTATTATTCCAGTGATTAATATTCGGAGTATCATTGATAATGATATTATTAATCATAATTGAGTATGAACAATAATATTAGTATTAACATTAGCCTTACCAGTATTCATAATATAATTAACATTATTCGCATTAGCATTAGTATTACTATTGTTATTAATTTTAGTCTCAGTAATATAAGTACGATCAGTCTTAGTCTTACAATTATTATGAGCAGCCATTATCAGTGGTATTGGTATTGCTGGTATGATCAATAGTACTAATATTGATACTGTTCGCATCATTGCTAATAAGAATAATACAATTAGCGTGGCTGGTGTTACAACTATTCGTATGATTCGTAGTATGCGTATTAGTCTTATCATTCGTCGTACTATTATTCTTCTGCATATCACTAATAGTCATCTGATTATTCTTCTGAACCGTATTACTATTCATACTCGTCTTGCCCATTTGCTTATCCTGTTTGTTCTTAAGTTTAAAAATTAATGTTATGTTCATTCTTCTTATATTATGAATAGTAATGTTATTATTATTAGTATTCGTCCTCCTCCTCCTCCTCCTCCTACTCCTCCCCCCTCGTTTCCTTCTCCTCGTCCTCCCCCCTTCCTGCTCGCGAGAAGGAAAAGGGCCCTGCGGAGGAGGAAGGGGGTCCTGGAGGAAGGCGGTTCTGGAGCGACCTCGCCGACTTCGGGCCCCTCTGGGGCCTTCCACGGGCCCAGAGGCCGTCAAAAGACGGCTCGGGACGACGAGGGCAAATCTGGTTGACCCAAAAGGGGGTCCAGCGACAAGGGGGTGGTGCAGTAGAAGGGAAATCTGGTTGCGACAAGGGCTTCCAGCGACAAGGGGGTCCAGCGACAAGGGGGGTGCAATAGCTTTGCGGGGTTGCAATAGATTTGGGGTGCGCAGCACATTCCAATGCGAAAATGTTTTGCTGGGCTTTCGCGTGCAACACTTTGGTTGCAGTACAGTGCAATACAGCTCTCTGGCGCAAGACGTTCGAAACACAATTGCCCCAAATCTATTGCACCACCCCCTCTCAGCTGGCGCCCCCTTCTGGGTCATGCGGAGGAAAGCCTTGGGATCTAGGACCCGCTTCCCCCAGGGCCCACTTCCTTCACTCGGCGGTCAGCCCCGGGGGGGCCACACTTTACTGCCACCGCCTCTCGATGGCAATCGCTCGCGCACCGCTGCCATCTGCGGCTCACTCGCGGACGGGCGAGCCCCACGGGCGAAGCCAGCCTCTGCGCGGCAACTGGTGCTGGCACCTCGAGACCGCCACGTCCGGACAGGGGAGGGGGCGAGCCTTCTCGGAAGGCTCAGAGGTCCCGCCGGCCCTCTGAGAGGGCCTTCTCCTTCTCGCTCCCCCCCCCCCCCTCGCTCGCCGCCGATTCGTGGCAACCGACCGGAGGACACCCACCGTGCCAAGGAGCCCCCTGCGCCCCAGCCCCACGTGTCCGAACACGGCCCCCCTCGTCCGCGAGGCCGGCCGCGTGCCGCGACTGTTCGCGCAGCGCGCGCGCGCGAAACCAGCGTGGCTTCGTGCACTCGCACGTCCTCCTTTAGACGAGCGCGTCCCACGACTCGCAGAGGAACTGCTCGCAAATGGCCTGGACCCCCCCCCCCGCGGAGGATCTACGACAAGCTACATCGAAGCGGACATGTGTTTGTTCGGACGTTGGCGAGCGGGCACTCTGCGACTAGTGGAACGCGCTCGGTGATCGTCTCGCTCCCGATGTGCACCTGCACCGGCCCTTGCCGGGACCATCCTGGGCCGAGGACTGGCGGGGCAGGACTGCTGCCCGCCCGACTCGCCCCTCGGCGGAGCGTCTGGCGGAGGGGCTCGGCGTGCACACCACGCGTCGCCCGGGTCGGCCAGGGGGCCAGGGAATCTCTTGGGCGACCCAAAAAGGGGTCCAGCGGCAAGGGGGTGGGGCAATAGATTTTGGGCAATTGTATTGCAAATGTACTGCGGCGGAGAATTGTATTGACCAACATATTGCACGCGAAAATCCAGCAATACATCTGCGCCCCAGAATGTAATGCACGCCCCAAACGTATTGCAACCCCACCAATCTATTGCGCCCAATCTATTGCACCACCCCCTGTGTCACTGGATCCTCTTTTGGGTCAACCCAAAATCTGGCAAGGGAGCTCGGTGCACATCAGAGCACCCAGGGAGACACAAATGAACAGGCGCAAATTCCAGGAAGCCCCATACGCTTCCGGAAACTCCAAATGTTCGCCTTCGCCTCCATGTCCGGTATGATCCCATAAATCTATACATTATATATGTATATATATATATATACACTAGAACCATCGCGCGCGCGCTTCGCGCGCGCTCAGGTTCTAGCAGGCCCCAAGCCTTGAAAAATTCACTGCTCCACTGAAGTAGTGGACCACAGTCCACGCATGCCAATCTGCATTCCGAAAGGCCTTCGAGGAAAATGATTGTGTAGTGGGGCGGAGGCCGTCTGAATCGGGTTCCCAGAAGGCCTCCTGGGAGCATAGGTTTGGGGCGTCTTGTGGAGCCTGTTGGGGCGTGCCGTCGTCGTCGTCGTCGTCGTCGTCGTCGTCGTCGTCCTCGTCGTCGTCGTCGTCGTCGTCGTCGTCGTCGTCGTCGTCGTCGTCGTCGTAATGTCGTCGTCGTCGTAATGTCGTCGTCGCCTGTTGGGGCGCGCCGTCGTCGTCGTCGTCGTCGTCGTCGTCGTCGTCGTCGTCGTCGTCGTCGTGGTCGTCGTCGTCGTCGTCGTCGTCGTCGTCGTCGTCGTCGTCTTCGTCGTTTCGTCGTCGTCGTCGATTCAACAGGGCACTTGAGGCAACTTTGTGCGAAACGATCTGCGGAGGGCCGCGAGAAGGCGATCAGTCATGTTCCCAATCAACTTCCCAGACAACTCTCGTGTAGCATGATGGTACTTCGAAGCCTCGCGAGACTCGCGGGCCCATGATGAACCATGTCCCCGGAAGGCTTTCTGGGGACATGGTTTGTTGGGGTGTGTTGGGGGGTCTCTTGGGCGTTCCCTGCGGGCCCCTTGGGGGCCTCTGGGAACTCTCGGGCCCATGATGAACCATGTCCCCGGAAGGTTTTCTGGGGACATAATTTCTTGGGGTGTGTTGGGGGGCCTCTTGGGCGTTCCCTGGGAGCCCCTTGGGGGTCTCTTGGGGCTTCCTGGGGGCCTCTTGGGCGCCTCACGGGGCTTCGTGGGAGCCTCTTGGTGGCCTCCGGGGGCCTGCAGGCGGCCTCTAGGGCCAGAGACCTCGAAAGATCGGTTGGCGGTCCCCCTCTGGGCCCTCTCTGGGGGAGCTCTTGGGGCACAGTTGGGTTGTCTGGGGAGCCTCCTGGGCCGTCTTGGGGCCCACTTCGGGGCCTCCTGGCCCGTCTTGGAGCGATCGATCAGAAGGGCCTCCGAGAAAGGCCGTGAGGGAGCGCTGGGAAGCGGGGAAAGCGAGAACGCCTAAATCCTTCAAAAACCATCGGAGAACGAGCGAATTTTGTCTCCCAAGGCCCTCTTGGGGAGCCTCTTGAGTCCGTCCTGGAGCGTGTTCGAGTCCTCGTCGGCCGTCTTGATGGCAATTTGGGCGTCTTCGGGGCCTCTTGGACCGTCTAGGGCCCTCTCGGGACCTCCATTAGCCTGTCGTGGCCTGCTTCGGGGCGGGCCCGGGCCGCCTCGGGACCCCTCTGGGCCTTCTCTTGGCGCGCTCTTGGGGCACACTGGGGCTGTCTGGGGAACATTCTGGGCCGTTTTGGGGCCCTCGTCGGGGCCTCGTGGGCCTTCTTACAGCGATCTGAAAGGCCTCCGAGGCCGTGAGTGGGCGCTGCAAAGCAGGAAAAACGAGAACGTCAAAATCCAAAACACTCAGAAACCGAGTGAATCTTACCTTCCACGGCCCTGTTGGGGAGCCTCTTGAACCCGTCCTGGAGCGTGTTGGAGTCCTCGTCGGCTGTGTTGAGGGCATCCTGGGCGTCTTCGGGGCCTCGTGGGACCGTCTTGGGTCCTCTCGGGACCCCCTTAGCCTGTCGTGGCCCGCTTCGTGGCGGGCTCGGGCCGCCTCGGGAGCTCTGGACCCCCCCCGCAACCCATGGTGGGCACCGATGGGGGGAACAGGCAGCGCCCCCCCCCCCAGGCCTACTCCGAGATAGAGAATCATGTTCCTGGGAAGCTTTCCGGGAACATAATTTGCTCGGTTCTCTAAGAGGGGGGCCTCTGGGGGCTTACCGGGGGGCGCCTTTTGGCTTTGTCG